AGATGGTTTGGTGTACATTTTCAGATAATTTATAAAAAATGATTTTTCTTTGACTTGATGATTATAGGATTATAAAGGAGATTATAATAAACAACGCATTTCTCCAATAGAGGATGGTTATGGATCATGAGACTCCTTGGGTATACATCTAAGAGCCGTAGTAAAGCGATTGCTAGCAGTATTAGGTGTAGCAATCTGAGATTCAACTCATGAGATACTTATGATCTAGGTGGGTGCAACTGTATAAGAAACAGCATCTGATACATCACTGGATGAATACCGGTTGCGTTTTGAGCCCATTGGCTAGATTTTTTTCGACTTGCATTACATATGTGCACGCTGAGTCTACTCAGTTATGTACATTATTATGATTATGATAATACAATAGTATACAACCACTATTAAAATGACAACATACAATAATGAGCATAAGGGAACATAAATCGATTGAGAAACCACCTGGTAAATGAGTTACTGTACATTGAGTCAACAACATTCTGATAAAATTTAAATTGTTTTTGACTTGATGATGCTAAATGCGACCAGTTTGATGTGCGCTCATTGAGGATTCTGTAGGCATCCTAAAGACGTTTGAATAAATAGAACCAATTTTTGGTGATCTATCATTGAAAACTCTCAGAAGGCTGAGGCTGCCTCGCACGTTACATACTTTATGGAACAAAAATTTGTACCTCTACAGATGTTCGATTGCAGGTCTTTCCATCTTCTTCCAGAAAGTAAAAACCTAGCCGTTTCATCTAAACAATTAAAATTAATTTGTGAAATAGTGTTAGGGATCTGAAGACACTTTATCTCTTCTTTCATGTTTTCTAAGCCTCTATTACTCATTATAAACTTATGACCCAACTGCTTGTTTAGTTTTATCCGCCTTCAGAAGGACGACAGAATTTTATTGAGAAATTATGCATTGTTCCTATGTGTGGTTATTTTACGGGTGAATAAGAAGTTGGTATACTGTTAAATCAGCTGTAATAACCTTTTTGTTCAAAATCTCAATTTCAGTTGCTACCCTCCACTTTTTCATGTAGAAAGCTAATCATTATTTCGTTTCAAGCACATGTGTGAGTTTCGTGTTCGCATTCCATAGAATTAGACAATTTGTGATACATTAATTGGAAACACTTCATGGAACCATTGTGTTGTCGACTAAGTTCATGCATTTTTCTTCAAACGCAATCTCTAAGAAACAGGCTTCGGCAAGCCTTATTACAAGATTTAAAAATGTTTTTCGTCTTCAACATGATGTGTTCGTTTTTCCCCGACTGATTAATTTCATTTGGTTTAATCATTGAAATGTCAGAGCATAGAAGTGCTCCAACATTTGATTTCTGCCCTTAATCTAGGATACCGTAGATTACCCTAAAGGGGTTGAGCTGCTGGTTCTTACTTTTAGATACTTTTATAGCTGTCTTCACTCGTCGTGCAGGCTCCAGCAATTTTCATCCGTTTCCGACTCTCGCTACCGTCATTCACAATGTTCGTTTGCGAGGTCCAGATCCATTGTTACCAGCTGAGGATTCAGCACGTCCATCCGTGCAACAAACACGTCAGCCCATCTAATCGGTCCTGCCCCGAAGAATTGCTTTGCGAGGGATCCATTCCAGGATTCTTAGTGTTCATCAGTCGTTTGTCCTCATGATATGACCAGCCATCGACTAGACATGCCTTAGAGACGTATTCCGCTGGTCGCGAAAACGAGACATTGATCTAATATCTGAACTACAAAGTCCGAGGAGATGTTGAGTATCAGATGTACTTCAGAAGATGTCTCTCCGGCGTTCTATTTGTTAGCAGAG